TTTCGATCTGATTGGATCGATAATGGAGCAAGTCCCTTAAGTTGGTAATTCCTTATTTTGAGCAGCTTTATTAAATCATTGATTTCACGTTAGCATTACCAAAAGGATTATCAATTATTCATTTTTTTCTTTTTATTTAAAATCCAAGATCATTGTTCTGCAATCATCGAATAACATGGTTGAGAAATTTTTCTTTTTGGTCATTGATGGAATTAAAAAAAAAAAAAGCATAAATTGCAAACGTCAAAATAAATTTCATTAAAAAATGAAATACAATGAACAAAATACTAATCAATACTGATCAAAAATCAATAATTGATACCAAAAAGATATTCAAAGCTTATAACATAAGAAAATCAACAAGAAAAACATTAAGTTGGAAATAAGAAGAATGAGGCCTTAACCTCTAAATTATGAAGAACTGAAATAAGGGTTTTTTTATTGTTAAATATGTTGAAGGAATATTAAATAACTGCCTTTTTGCTTTTTCAAATAATTTTAACAGTTGCCAAAGTGGTTAAGAATAAGGCTAGTGGGTTTGTCTTTTCGTTATTTCCATACTGATGCCAACAGTTGATTGCTGAGCCCTAGGCTAAGAGTCAGGATTAGGAATATTGATTTTTTTTTTTTTTTAAAAAGCAAGCAGGTCCACCCCACTTGGAAGACCAGTGCAATACAATCTTCCCACCCTGGTTTCCCTTAAAGTGGCCTTGTGACACTAAGAATAAGGCAAGTTTAGTCTAAGTAAGTATTTAAAATAAGTATTTAAAAATAGAGAAGTTAATTGCACAAAACTTGTGCTACACTTGATGTTATTTAGGAGGAGTTATCTCACCTGTCAAGTTAAGCGACAAAAAAAAAAAAAATTAAAATAAAACAAATTATTGCTATATTTTTTTATAAAGCCAACATTTATATATATTTATATATATATATATATATATATATATATATATATATATATATATATATAGATGTGTGTGTGTTATATATATATATATATATATATATATATATATATATATATATGTGTGTGTTTATATATATATATATATATATATATATATATATATATATATATATACATAGTATCTTTGGGTAGCAATCCTTTTTATACATGTTTCACTGAATGTGATGGAGAAAGAAAATTTTATAAGTTTTTATTCTGTTCTCTTATGTGGGACTTCCTGAATGTAGAAACTGTCCATAGCGATAACTGTCCCAAGCATTATTAGTCATTTTCAAATGGCTAGTGAATTGTCTGAAAGCATTTTCTTGAAAATCTTAGTCCACATAAGAGGAAAAACTGTAAGAATATATAAATAAATAAATTTAAAAAAAAGAAATTTTAAAAAAAAATCTTATCAAATTTTCCTTGTCTTTCACAATTAATGAAGATTATATCTTGATATTTTCAGGATAATTTTTTTCCTTCTCTTTTGACAGTTTTGAAAAGAAAAATAAATAGTGGTCAATGATTTGACAATGTTATATTGCATAAACATTCTTTTTAATTTTCCCTCCACAACTATTTCATTAGATTTTGACATCTTCCTTTATTTAAAAAAAGATAAAAAATTGTCATCTTTTTTGATTATCGTTGTTTTTTTGGAAAATTGAAAATTTAATGTAGATTTGATGTAGTCAGTATATTCACGCAAAAAAGGTTAGTTGCAATGAAATGATATCTATTTTAGGTTGCTATTTTAGAAACTAATTTATAATGCCAAATTTTTTTTTTCTTTTCTTATCAATATAAGCATTATTTTTAGTAGGTAACCATGTTGGAATTGCTAACCTTGTTTTATTTTATTAAACAGTAAGCCTGTATCAAGAAGCCCAATTAAAGAAAAATTGTGTCTCTAACAAGAATCAAACATATATCCTTTTTTTTTTTTTCATCAGGGAAACCACTTTTTGAGCCAAAGTATGCCACTGCTAGTTGGATCACGGAAATCAGCCTGACAAAGCAAGGTTTGAATTTCTTATTCAATGAAAAACACATTTCTCATTGGGACCTCTACTACAAATCTATATCTGTTAGCTTCAGTTTCATACATGAAACGTAAACAACAGTAATTCTTAAAAGGATTTTTTTTTATCTGACATTATTTCTAATCACTGTGAATGTTATTTTTAGTGATTGTACGTATTCAAGTAACTAGCTATTTTTTTATATCACTAATAAAATAAAAAAAAAAACAGGGATACCAACTCAAACATGTGCACTCATTAAAAGTAATGTTTAAAGTGATAAGAAATAAAATTGTATACAAAAACAAATCCCTTCAAATATGTGTGTGTGTATGTATCAATATTCACAGATGCACACACATACACAATGACTGTGTAAATTAAGTTGCATACTTTAAACAATTTTTTTCTAAAAAGTAATGTATTGACACAGACTGAAGCACATTTAACCAAATTTGAATAAATTTAATCCCCTCATGTAGAATCAAATAACTAAAAATATACTATAAATAAATTAGTTTTAAAGCTGAAATTTGGTTTTAAAATTTAAAAAAAAAATCCTGCTGACTTATAATTTTAAGTATAAATATATCATTCATAGTACATTGATGTCATAAAAACAATATGAAAATACCATTAATTGGATGTTGATGCAATCAAAACTAACATGTAAAAAGAGGATACAGATAAAGTTTTCAATAAACAAATCCATTAATTTTAATTAAATCTCTGAATATTTGTTTTCTTTCACATCAAAAACAAAGCGATCAACATTTTCAAAAAAATAATGATCTGCAATATGACATAAGCAAAACACTGGACATTTTTTTTCCCTTCTTTTTTGTGGTAAAGATGTCTTAATCATTTTCCCTTTTGGTATTTATAAAAAAAAAAAATTAAATTATCAACAATTTTACACAATTATCTTATTTCAATACAATTTTTTTGAATGCAAATCATTTAAATTTTTTCTTTTCTGAAAAACATTTTCTTCCACAATATTTCATCATGATTCTAGAGCGGGCCATGCTATAAAACTGAACACTTTTCTTTGAGGAGATCATAAAAAGTCAGAAATTGCTAGGCAACAATAATTTATCTCTGCGGGCAATGATGTGATTGTCACAAACCTTGTATAAATTTAATTAAGTTTTTCTTCAAGTCTTACAGAAAATGAATACATATTTAATGGCAAACTTCAAAAATTGATTGTACAACATTAATGTGGAAGTTGAGATTAACAACATTTTTGGTAAATTTATGATTTTCTTCAAGTGAAAACCAAAAGCACACCTGAAATGTTTTTTTAAAAAAAGTCAGGAGGAGAGCTGGAAAAAAATGATATAAGAAAACTTTAATTTTTCATTTTTTTACTTTTCATTTGTTCTAAAGATGAGGAGTTTTCAAATATTAAAAGATTATTGTGATCTATGACAGCTATTTTTAACGGTCATTTTTTTTTTTTTTTTGATTTTTAACAAAATTTACGGAATTCTATTTGGTTCATTGTAAGATCAAATTTCTAATAACCATTTTCAACATCTAATGGCTTTACGGCCATCAGGCATATTCATGGCAGTAACTTTACACCTGTCAAATGTATATTCAAAAGACAGCTATGGTCAAAGGACTGGAATATTTAAAATAATTTTTTCAATTAAATTGAAAAATAAAAAAATTATTGTTATTCATTTTCTTTAATCTCTCAGCTGTATACAACCACTTATTCAGATCAACAGCTAAAAACAGCTTTGAGATTTTACATCAGAATCAATTTTTCTGCATATTTTTTAGGTTGTGCTTTTCTCATAACATCTGGTTAATATAACCATCATGCTTATTTCATTGATATTTGATGAATGAAAAGCAAATTTCAAAATGACAGATTTCAAATGTTAATGTCATTAATTCTTTATGTAAAGATAAAAAGAGAAGACACATCATTCTCTCTGATCAAAATCAAAACTTTCCTAAATTCCTGCTTTGATATTTTCCTTAAGGGAGGAAAATGGAATAACAAAAAGTTCTCTACTAAAGAATTTCTAAAGAGATAATGATTTCAATGTTGATCTATTGAAGGAGTTGAAAAGCATTTTCAATGTATTTTTTCTCATTATGTAAATATTGAGGGCTAAAAATTCTAAGTGCTCTTAAGTTGAAACATAATTATTCCTGATTTTACTTTATTGTGGTAGTGTGAATAAAAGTTTATGAGGTCATTTTTTTTTATGGATTTTTGGTAAAACTGATAAAATAAATAAAAAATCAGTTTTAACATAATATCAAGAACAGATAATGCACTGTTTGTTTCTGTTTAATAAGTAAATTCTATCATATGTTCAATGTTGTTTAGTTTATTTACAAGATCAGGTAATGTTTAGCTATATAAATAAGTATCATCAATATATTAGAAACATGTTTAGGTAAAATATTTTACAAAGGACTAATTTCTAGAAATTTTAGGAAAGGCTAAGTTGAAACACCACTTGAGACAATGTCATTGAAAATCTGAATTTCTGTCTCTAAAATTTATTATCAAAAGTGAAATAAAATCGGTCTGTAATAAAATTCTATTTGCCAACTCGTCTATTGGCAGTGATAGGTTAGGTTTTGATTGTACTAAAATGTTTCTTGAGGAAAATGCATTACTTGTTCTTAAATATCATGTTTAAACTAATGTACTAATGAGCTATCAAAAATCCACTTACAATATTTATATTTATATTATTATTATTATAGATTTGTACTTAGAATTTGTGGTTTTCAAAATTGACATGATTAAAAAAATATATTAGTTTTGTAAAGGACCCTGGATTTTTTTCGTAATACCATTAAGTCAAAAATCGAACCCTGAATGCAAAATAAATTTCACATACGTTTATGATGCTCAAGGGGAATAACTCTAATATAAGTTGACAGATTATTTACGAAGCTCAGTATGAAGCACAAAGCGAGGATCGAACTCACTATTTAGTAAAAGTGGCCAACCAGACAGAGTATACAGGTTAAAAAAAAATGTTGCATCGCTATGAGAAAAGAAAAAGAAAGAAAAAGAAAGAGAAAGAAAAAGAAAGAGAGAGAAAAAGAAAGAAAGGGAGGAAAAAGAAAGAAAGAAGGGGATAGAGTGAAAGAAAGAAAGAAGGGGATAGAGTGAAAGAAAGAAAGAAGGGGATAGAGTGAAAGAAAGAAAGAAAGGGATAGGTCTCAAGAAAAAAAAAGAAAAAAGAAAAGGATAGCCATGGAAAAAAGAAAATAGAGTTAAGAAAAAAAGAAGAAAAGAATAGTCAAGAAAAAAAAAAGAAAGAAAGTGAAAGAGTCTGGAAAAAGAAAAGAAAAAGGATAGAGTCAAGGAAAAAAATTGCTCAAAGATGACATGAAAACTTTTTAATGTGATACTGCACTTTTCAGGCTAAGAAAAACAAGTTCAAGTCTTGCTGAAGGTAAGTTTTTTTTGCTTCAGATTTTTAGGATTTAAAGTGCATGATTTTATATGTGATTTCACACATATTAGCATTTAACTCAAGTCATATTCTAAATAGCCTCGTTAGGTTGAGACTTTCATATGGATATTACACATGCCACCTAACCTGTTTGGATGTGTCTAAATGGCATACAACGGCTTTCTCAGATCAATGATTAAAAATGGTTATGAGTAAATGAACCCTGTACATCTGAGAGACAACCATCCTTCTTTGAACCTTGTAGACTAGTGCTGCAGAATGACAAAGAACTGTACCAAATAAGAGAAGCCACATCACTTGAGGACTTTCAATAGTAGTAATAACTAAAATGGATAGTACATGCAACTTGAAGAGAAAATGATATCATCAAGATGAGATTCTCAACCACTTCAAACAAAAGACGATGAAGGAAGCTGCCTTCAATACTGGAAAGAGTGATAACAATTAGCAGACTTAAGAAATCTATTTTCATGAAAAATTGTTGTAAGAGAAAGATTTTTTAAGATTCAACTGACAGTAGAAATGGGTGTTCAATCAATGAATGCCGAATGTTTCCTTATAAGGAAACTGACAATATTACCATTAGATATTTGTTAAAAAAAATGCCAACTTTGTAGAACACTCAAAAATCTCACTGCAAAGTACTCAAGAAATCACTCTGCTAATCATTGTAGTGCAACAGAGGCTATAGATCAGAACAGTTTCAGTTGACCTCTCTTGTATTCAGAATGAAGAGTGACACAAGAGATTTTGCCAACAGTATTTTTATTTTTCCTCTTATTTACTATAGAATGCTGTTTTCACAGAGTTCAGCTACTTGGCTTTTTACTGGTCAACATGATTCAAGTATTTGTATTGCTGTATTTGAATATTGCTGCCAAATCTGGTCTGGTGTTCCTGTTATATATTTAGAGATTCCAAAGAATCTGCAATGTTATTGGTCCTGACCTGGCATCTCAGCTTCAGTCACTTTTTCCACAGTAACTTAGTTTCCCTGTGCCTTTTCTATAAATACTTTCATGATAATTGTTCTGATAAACTTTCCCCTATAGTACTTAAACTTTATGAATTTAAACATAGTACTAGATTGTTGGCAAGTAGTCATTAATTTACAGTTGAAATAGCTATAGATGTAACTGTAAATTCTATGCTAACAGTTTCTTCTATCACACTTCTCACTTGTGGAACTCTCTTCTGGCTTTAACTTTGATCTTCAAAAATGTAAATGCAATGTCAATCGTTATCTACTGTGTTCTTAATTCTTATTCTTTTATTGTCCTTTCTCCTTAATAGTAGTTTTTTCTCACATTCTCTAACACTCAGCAACCTCTTGCATCCGAGTGGCTTTATTGCCTTGCTTGGGGTGAAATGATTAAAAAATAAAAATATATTCTTTAGTACAAATGGACATTTCTTTTATGCCGTGACTGCATATCATTAAGAAATGTTGTTGAATGTGAAATCTATATAAAAAAGGAAAAATACATTTCAATTTTTATCTCACAAAATTCATTGGAATGATTATGTGCAAGCAAAAATATGTTCGAAATAAAGAAATTTAAAATTAAAAAAAAAAAAAAAAAAAATGTAAACTTAAAAGAAAACAACATTAGCCCTCACATGTGCTGCTTAGGACAGTTTGGGATAGTACACACGAAAATGTCCTGGACAGGCAAAGTGTTAATGATTTAAGGAAATGCGTAATATAGAATTTATGTATGGAAAAAAAAAAAAAAAAAAAAAAAAATGGAAATTAATTCAATTAATAAGATAAATGTTCAATTAAACAATGTCATTTTTACAATTCTCTACCTTGTCCCAAATTTATTCTCTTTGTTCTAATATTTGTGGAATTTGACCAAAACTGATACAAATCCCTCTTAACAACCTTACTAACTATAGTCATTGAGACTAAGATGATAACAACAACAATCTATTTTTGGGGGCTCATTTCAACTAAAAACATTTTTTTCTTCTGAATCTTATCCTCAATGCAAGAATTATTTGTTATCTATTTCTGTTTGAATTTGTTGCAATTGGTCAACTCATTTATCAATATTAGTTAACAGACCTGATAATTCAAAACTAATAATTTATATCTTTTACTTCAAAACTGATGTGAAATTGATTTTCTCATATCCCTTCATCAGCTTGCATAGATTTATGTCAGCCCATAACATTTACAATAGTAAAATAGGGTGACCGTTTTGAATAGCCATTAGATATTTGCTATATGCAACACTTCTTCAATTAAATCAGTTGATTGACATTTCTCCCATTGTATCAATATTTCAAAAAATGCTTTTTTATTTATTTATTGCTTAATAAGGAATGTATTCCTTATAAACTAAAAACTTTTTCTTTTCAAGCAGTAGACTTTTAAATTTATTCATGACCAAAATATTACGGTGAAAATTGATAGATATCACTTGAATAAAATTACACTATTAAATATGTGTGTGTGTATATATATATATATATATATATATATATATATATATATATTAGTCCGTCTATTAATGAGAAAGTCAGTCAAGTACGAAATTTCGATTCTCACACTTCACAACAAAAAGCTTACTTTAACAATAACAAAATTACATTTTTATTTTGAATTTCGCAAAACAAGTCATTAAATCTAAATAAGGGAGATAACTCACTTATATAAGCAAAAATTTTGTTCGCTTCATTGCAAACATTAAATTTTGGGGGAGAAAAATCTAAAAGAATTTTTGCAAATGATTAAAAACAAAAAAAAACTTACTTAGCATTTACTGATCATCAAACAAGAATAAAAATAGGAACAATTCATTTAACATAATTAAAAAACCTATTGCTAATTTAATACTTAAAAATAATTAAAAATTGACATAGTTGAAAAATGAAATGTAGTGATAGCTGCAATGTTAAATTGACTAATAAAAAAAAGTAAAAACAACAAAAAACATTACAAGTGAACTGATTAAAAATTTGAAGTTTATAAATCAAAACACAGAAAAAATTTTTTTAAATGTAATAAAATTAAATTCAGTATTGTTTTGAAAAGGTTTTGAGATCATCAATATATAGTAAAGTCCAAATATTGAAATTCTTTATAAAAGATTCAAGTTCTATAACAATCATATTGTTCAAACATGACAACCTTGATCTTAAAAGATTTAAATACAATGTCAGTCATTATCTTCTATCTTAATTCTTGTTCCATTGTCCTCTCCTTAATAGTATATTTTTATTATATTCTCTAACACTCAGTAAGGCCTTGCATCTTAGTGGCTTTATTGCCTTGCTTGGGATGAAATGATAAAAAAAAGACTAAATCTAATTTTTCAAATCTAGACGGCTTGTAACAGGCAGCATTTTTCTTTTCCACTATCTCTTTAAATTATTATTGAACTTCTATAAGTATTCAATAGCTAATCAGTTATAAAAATACAAGCACCAAGAAATAATCACTGAAGTTAGAAAGATGAAAAACAAGTGGGGAAAAATAAATAATCAAAATATATAATAAAATAAAAAAAATATGCTTTTGCAAGTTTTGTTTAGGCACAAAATGTTATTCTCAAAATTCAAGATAATTTTATAATTTCAAAAAATTTGGTTGGAATTTTGGTTGGCACAAACAGTATATAAATGAGAACATATTGATACATGAACATCTCTGATTTTGTCATTCCAAAGATCATTATAAACTGATGTCTTTGATACCTATACTTAATGAATTTAAGTGTAGTACTAGATTAGTAGCTAGGTCCCATCATTTTATTGCAGAAATTGCTAAGTATAACCATAAGTTATATTCTAATTTCTTTCCTAGCACTTCTCACTTGTGGAACTCTCTTCTCTCTACAATGGTCAAACATTTAAATGCAATGTTAATCATCATCTTCTATCTCCTTGAATCCTGTTCCGTTATTGTCCTTTCTCCATAATATCATTATCTCATTTTTCTTCATTCTCAGTAACCCTGCAGCATGACTTCATCACCTTGCTTGGGGTGAAACAATAATTAAAAAAAAAAAATAAAAATACAGAAACTCATGTTAATGTTAATAATAATTTGAAGGTAAACTTGAGTAAGCAAACAAAAATTTCATATTTAGAACGATTAAATATGAACTGACCAAAAACTAGAGAAAGTAATTGAAAAGTATCCAGAGTTGGTTAATTGTGTTAAATTCTTTGATCCTGAAAATTAAATGAAAGAAAAATAATTTTGGTCACCTATTTTTTATGACATTTTAGATAAATAATGATTTCCTTAAATAAGGATTTTCTAACACATTACACTAAATTTAATTTTAAAAGGAAATTAGTAATTTTATATCAACAATGAATTAAAAGCCTGAGAAGAAAATGTTTTCATTTAATATTATTATCATTTGGTAAGACCCAACTTAATCATAAAAAAAAAAATGAAAGAAATAAAACAATGACTTATAGACTTATATATGACTGCAAAAGTCTTTTATAACTTTTGATTTAACCTTCTACTTTATTAATTGAACTGTATATGAATCTTTTGAGAGAAATTTGTATCAGCAATTCTTCAGGTTTCAACAGGAAAGGTGGATAATTTTACCTAATTTATTTATTAAATGTGTTTAGTGCAAATAAATTCTTTTAGTGTTTCATAACTCCTCATCTTGTAAATGACAATCACGGGTTCAATCCACTGGCAAATATATTTAGAAATTACCAAAAATTGAACATTTTATATAGTGTGCAATGCCAATCTAAAAGCATCTTTTATTAAATGCAGGTATTTGCAATGCTCAATTGATCAGTATTTTACTTGTCAACTCAAATTCCGACAACATTCCATATGTACCCCGCTGATGTATAAAGGATGTAAATTTTCAAACTTTTCTTCAAAATGTTACTGTTTGGAAAAGAAAACACAAACTGCTTTTAAACAAATTCAGTGGCAGTTCATAGCTGCTCTAGCAATATATCCTGACTGCTTACGATGATAGTCTGACCCCGTCAGTAATTATAAAGGTTTAGTTTCATGGCATAGCCCGATTCTAGTCATGCTGTTGGCTGGTTTCTCCAGTTCTGTACGACTTCAATAATTGGCTTGATGACAGCAGATGGCTGTTTGTAGATCATATGATGATCAGCATCATTCACTATTATGTGATTTGCACGACTGAAGAATTTCTGGATTAGCATTCGTTCACCTCGGACCCATGCCTAAAGAAGAAGAAGAAGAAAAAAAAAAAGACATTTTTAGAAATAAGTTAACATTTTCATATTACAAATAGCCTATAAATTAAGTTGTGAAATTTCAAAATTCAAAGAGAAAATTTTAGAAAAAAAGAATTAAAAAAAAAAACTATGTTTTAATCGCCCTAATATTATCATTAAATAATGTATATTTTGAGATAGGAACAAAAGTTTGTGAACATCATACTTAAATTTAACAGGATATTTCAACAGAATCTCATTAAAAATATTTCATGTTTGTAAAACTTCTTATGTTTGGTGCACACATAAACATGACAAGAGATGGCAATAGAAAGTCAGTAACAAAAGTAGGAACAAATACAAGTACAATAAAACAAAGATGATAAGGTTATTGTACTGATATTGAAATAAGTCTTGCCTCATTTACATACCAGCACACAGACCTGTATGGATAGTCCTACTACTGAGGAAAGGGAGGGGTGGGGGTCATGTAGGAAACTTTGAATTACATATTTTACAACTCTAATATTATAGATGGCTAGTAAAGGAAATTATGAACAGACTAATTGGGGAGGGGAAAGTGTTTTGCGGTTATTCCTAACAAAGATTGAAACCAACACATTTTGTAAAAGATGACCAATCACCAATGTCTGCTCATGTCTTGCAGAGAGAGAAAGTACGTATGAAAAAAAAAACAAAAAAAAACATAAAATTTAAAACAACAAACCTCATTTAACTGCCATGATAAACTTGTATCATACATATTTCCAGAAATTACTGTCAGAGTCATATTTTTAGGAAGATTTTTCATTATTCGAGCCAATCTGAAAATAAATGAAACCAGATAGTTTTTGTTTTGAGATGAAAACACATCCACCCCCCTTGCCACAATAATCATGCCTCAAGCTTTTCAAACTGTCAGCAATTAAATCTTGAAAACAAGAATACTTCCTTTTTATATTTTTAGAATTTGTATTGGATTTTATTTCAATAAATAGTGAATCAATGTTTCTCATAGAAAAAGTAAATTTTGGACTTAACTTTGCTTTTTACTAAACTATATTTCTATTGATTTAGTCAACATTTATTCATTATGTTAACATCAAACTATTTCTCATTCTGTTTTACCTGAAATGAATTTAGATTAAAAGATAGTTTTTCATTTCATAGTGATAAAATACATAAAAATTATACTACTGTCCTGTAATAGTTCATATATTTTGTGTACAAAATGTGTATGTAAATGGAACAGTCATTATAGGACAAAATATAATACTTCTGTCCCATAATAGTTCTTATATTTTATGTATGAAGTATGTATGCAAACATAATAATTATTATCAGATGGCAATATATTTACATGACATTTTAAAAATCAATTTCTATTTTGTCTAATGCAGTGTAGCATCCAACTTTGATTCCAAGAAACTTCAAATGAGAGACTTAAATTCTCCCATTAAGTTTATAAAGTTTCAATAATTCTACATTATTTAGATCTCAAATTTTTAATCTCAAAATGAAAAATATACTTTGTGTATTTGATATATTCTAGTTCAGTAAAAATAGATTAAAAAAAAGGTTAGACAATCATCTTTTCTTTTTTTTTAAATAATCTTTCTAAAGAAAGAGAAGCAGAAATTAAAACTCACCGTATTTGGGCAATTGACTCATTTACAAAATGGTGTTCATCAACAGCTGAACTTAAATGTTTCGGATGGCAGAGAAGAAATTTCTAGAAGAAAAAATTATATAGTTTAGCTATTTAAGAAAAAAAAAAGAAGGAAAATAAAACCAAGAATAGTGCAATACAAAAAATTCCCATTTAAGACGTACAAAATTATTACAAAAGATATTTAAAATAATAATCCTATCAAATGA